GTTCCTTGAAAGCCATAGTAGCTTCCAAGCAATGTTTTGTACTGTTCGTGTGCACAAAACTGTATGGCTGCATATGGGATGACTCGCACCATGGTTGCTGAATTGCCCCTCCATAGGCTCAGGAAACCATCATTGAGGTAGGTGCGATAGATTAATTTGTAAGCTTCCTGGAGGGAAGAAATTATTAAACTTCAACAACCACCCCGAATTGAGACAGGGATAAACGGTCAGTCACAAATTTCAGTACAGTCACATATAGCAGATACATTAAAATACCACAATGTGCCGCGTCCATGCAACTTGCTGCTACACTACTATATGCAAAGTCTCAGTTTTTGATACTGTACCCAGACACAAGCCCCCTATGTATCAGAGTGGTATCTAGACCACATAAATTATTAGCATCCACTAATATCTCACCTTTATTGGATCAGAATCCACTCAAGTCTCATTCACATGGGGCATACAGCAGAGTGCACCTGTGCAAGGGTTGTGTTTACCCACACGGGATGTACAGGTGTTCTGGGCAATTTTGTGTAGGCAGTTCCATTGATGTCAACTGTGACATAGCAGTTTCCCAGACACAGCCGCTACTAAGTATCCAATGTGACATCCATAAGGGTGCATTGCCCTAAATACACACTGTGGGATGCATGCAACACCTGTGCATTTCTGTGTCAGGAAATGGGGATGCACACAACAAGCAGCCCTGCCTGAGGCATGGGAACTAATTGCCACGTGAGAATGAGGCCTAACACCACATTAAGTTATGCAGGCCATAGATGGGTCATTTATCGGCCGAATTTTCATCTGCACGAAAGATTGGCAGATAATCACACCGTTAGTGGGGCCAGCCCGTCGGCCGTTTTTTGCGGATCTCGTCATTTATTTTTATCGGTCATGCTGGAAAATCCGTGAAAAATAGCTGTTTTTCGTGGACATGGGTGGCAGCATCGGCAACAGGGCCGACCGATTTTTCGTTTATCAGCCGAAAATTCGGCCGATAAACGGCCCGTCTATGGCCTGCCTAAGTCTCTCTAGGCTTTATCCACTGTCCTTGTTTTTTCACTCTCTAAATCTAAATCCACCCAAAAACTCTCAGTATAAACACAAATGCTGCAGTCACAAATAAGCATAACAAGTCTCATTTTGCATCAGTTTTTAATTGTAACAGGACAGGACAAAAATGTATTAGTAAACAAGATAACCCACAGTCACGTCTGTACTAACCTTTGCTGAAAATCTGTTTGAAGATACTGGGAAAAGGGAAAAAAAGATTTGTTAATAAAAGAAAAGCATTTTCTTTATTTTCAAAGAAACAACAGTAGTCAATGATGTATGATTTTTTGTAACACCTATGGCATAGACCAGGGGTCTCAACTTTCTAAACAAAAAGGGCCAGTTTATGGTCCTTCAGACTTTGGGAAGAAATCGTGCCCCATCATTGGTATCAGTGGGAGGAATAGTGTCCCATTGTTGAGGTCAGTGGGAGGAATGGTGTCCCAAGGGCCAGATAAAGGTATGCAAAGGGCTGCAGTTTGGAGAACACTGACCTAGACAAATTAAAATGTTATTTTCTATATAAAGAAGAGTCCTAGCTATGTGCATGTTCTGCAAAAACACTAAGGCCTCACTAACATTAGTATTCCTGCATTTAGCCTTTCTAATTGTAGGAGGAGTCATCTGGGAAGTAGAAGCAACTTTTATACCTCCCAGATCACTTTCTCTGGCATTTATATGTTTCTGCTCTTAGCTCTGTTTATAGTCTCGCTTAGTTGCATCCAAAGCTTTTAATTGAAAAGAACTCTGTTTGTCTGTGCGTTTGGGGTCATGCACCCACACAGATGTCACATCGGGAGCTGTGGTTGTGTTCTTGCAGCCACTGTTGCCCAACTGACAGCAATGGAAGCATGTAACACCTGTGCATCCCTGTGTGGGTACAAATGGCCCTCACACAGGGTTCATACACCCCATGTGAATATGAGGCCTAAATGCAGCTAAACTGACTGCGCCTAAATGCTGGTAAACACTCGGCGTGAGTGGCATCAAAAATATTACATACATTTATATGCATTTAGAAATGCCTCTAAATTCAAGAAAATGAAAGTTTGACAGTGCCATTGTGAATCAGGCATAACAGAAACTGTAAAAATACTCTTCTCTGCACTACCTGCTGCTGAGATCGCATAGTAAATGGTCACATTGCCAAAGATTATCTGAGTAGAGAATTTGGTCTAATGAGAGGTGGTCATGAGAATCCAGTGAAAAGTGTTTGAAACGTAAGAGTATTCCATGGCATGTGGTCCCCTTTATTACTAAAGGAAACAAAATGAACAACACGCGTATAATTCACAGGATTGACAGGTGAAAATAAAAGGAAAAAAAGTCAGACAAATTGCAATATATTACAATTTTTGTATTTAGATATATTTCAAGTCTCACTTTGTTTCTGTTCCTTGACTTTACCAAACATCATGGGTAACCTCTCCTAAGTGGAACTACCTTCCAATGAGACTTTCTTGGTGGACATGCTTAGCCCAGTGTACACTTAAGCATAACATATAGAGGCAAATTTTGAGACTTTTTTTGCATGAAGTGCCATACCGGAGCTTTTTGGGGGCAGAACCACGCTTTTTTGGCCCCTTAATACTCTTATTATGGGAGTGCTTGAAAAAACGCACACAACACGTGTTTTTGCGGTCCTTTCAAAATCAATGAGAACAAAAACACCTCATTCCACTTCATAACTTGCTAATGAACTTTTGTAAGCTTCAGGCATTGAGCTACAGGCGCTTGAATGCTCACATATGAACAGGAAAACAGTAAAAGCATAGAATTTTGGTTGTACAGCATTTTGGATCTTTGGAGCTTTGAGCTACAAAGCGCTCATATGTAAATAGGGGCTTAGTGAGCAGAGGAAGAGTAGTGATAAGATAGGGGAATGTCAGGGTGTAAGAAAAAGGGATATCAAAGTGACTCAATGTGCAAACAATTATGCCTGCTGCAGAGAAGACATTTAAGATTTTAGGATCATTACACCTCAGTTCCAGTAGATTTGGCATTTAACCAATCTCTGTTGTGGACAAAATGTACTTAGTCTAGGGTTCTTGGATGCTGGAAATATATTGACAGGTTGTGCCCTTACGTACTTGTGGTGGCTCTTGCTCACATTTATTGTATATTGGAGTGATGGTACTTCTTTTGAAAATGCACAATGTCAAAATAAAGAATTACAAAAAGAAGACATTTAAGAGAAACCAATGCTTCTGGGAGTGTTGGACTTCTTCTACCCTGCTGTGCACAGTGATTCAATCCACCATGTCTTACTTCAGTACTTGAAGTAACATAGGGGAAAGCTGGAGGCATCACAGAATTCAGAGCGTCATTAAGAAATCAACACTTCTGGAGTGTTAGATTTTGCAGATACTTCAGCAAGCAGTTTCTCTTTACAGTGAAGCTTTATTTTTTTTTTTTTTTTTTCAAAGACTTCACACAAACTTTCCGACCAGGTCCGCCTATCTGTTTTTCAGGTAGATCCAATCGGAACTTCTATACTCCTCTATGGACACATGTTCGTTTACACCCGCCTACATCCAATCCAATCCATCAAAAAGACGGAGGGGATTCAATCCCCTTCTGTCCAACAGGTCAGGTCAGATGGCAGTCAGGTGTAAATGGACAGGCGTTCTGTTTACACTGACCTCCCATAGAGGAGAGCAGTCTGTGTGTGCACAAGTAGAGTGCACATGAACCTGTCATACGCCTGCTCAGCGGGGATCAGCGGACAAATCCCGTACTGAACAAGCGGATCGCAACTACAGTCCACTCCATGTGAAAGGAGCCATAATATGCTGCTTTGCATTGCATACTAGCACATTATGAGAGACTTGCCTTAAAGTGGTACTAAACTCACAACAGTAAAATCAGTCCGTATGTGCATCAAAGCATACTTGTTGTACTCAAAGTGGAATCTAATGGGTTAATCCTGCACACTGTGTAAAAAGGCTGTTTGAGCATGTCTTCTCTGATTCTCCCCTTCTACTGTCCCCAATCAATCTTGATAGTACAGAGCTCTAGGAGCACATGCTCAGTTTAGTATGTATTGCTAGAAAGTTTTGTTTTTCTTTGGGAGGGTGCATGTGATCAGCACAGGACCAATCAGTACTGCCCAGACAGAGGGTCAGAGGTTATGCAGCCTCATAAAGCAGTCAGAGGAGAATGAAAACACCTCCTACAAGCTTTAACCAGTGCTCAGCTGGACACTGATAGAAGTCACAAGACTGCTATATACTGCTGATGAGAAAAGGCATTTAGCAGTTTATATTTACTAAAATAATTGCATTTCCATGTTGTGTGTACTATGGGAGACCAGATATAGTGAATGCAGGGTGATGGGTTTAGACACTTTAAAATGAAGCCCTCACCGCTGACAGAGCTTCAATCTTCACTCAGTCTTCCTCCTGGTTTCAGGGACTCTGGCCATCTGACTGGCTAGGCAAGATCACATCATTCTCGTGCATATGCACAGGAGTCATGGTTTACAGCACAAAACTCTGAAGGAATGGCATGCTTGTGCTGTTCCTTCAGTGCGTATGCGCTGGTAACATCACCGACTGCTGCTCATTGGAATATCTCCTAAACGTAGCATGTTTATGAGATATTAATTTTACCTACAGGTAAGCTTTATTATAAGCTTACCTGTAGGTAGAAATGTAAGACACAGGGATGTGCAATTCCTTTCGCCCGATGCCTGGGACATGTAGTTCCAGGCACCGGGCAGATAGGTTTTTTTGCCTTTAGCCCTGTTGTGGAAAAGCAGCAGGGCCCACCTGTCAGGTGGAAGCATTCGGGGCGGTAGCGCTGCCACCCGATTGCTTCCACACAGCCCACAGTGCCAGCCCAGCTGCACCTCCGCCCGCTATATGTTCCGGGCTCCGCTTGCCCATCTGCGGGCCCGCAACTGGTTCAGTAGGTGCTGGTGGTATGTCAGGATGTGGTTATAGAGGAGGGAGGAGAGCGGATACGTCCGCTCTCCTCCCCATCTTGTACTGACCAGGAAGTGATGTGACGTCACTACCGGGTCGCCGTTGTCAGATTCCCGGTCATCGAGGCCAGGAAAGAATGTAATGCAGTGCGATGTGCACTGCATTACATTCAGGGAAGCACAGGGGAGACATCTCAAAAGATGTCTAAAAAAAAAAAAAAAAAAAAAAAAAAAAAAAAAAAAGAAGAACCTGTCACCAAAAATCATCACTTTTTTTATTTTTTAAAAAAATGTAAGTTTCACCATAGCATATAACCGCCCCCTCCCCCAACTTTTTCAAGGCACCCCCATGCACGTACAACGTAAAAGCACACGCTGGGGCTCCTACACATGAAAACGATGACTGCGATACACGTTATATATTGCCATGACCCCACAGCGAGAGCAATAATTCTAGCACCAGACCTCCTCTGTAATGTTAAACTGATAACTTATACAGAGCTTTAAAAGCGTCACCTATAGAAAATATAGGGTACCAAAGTTTCTTGCGGTTTTACGAGCACACGCAAATTTAAGGTCACCTTCGTGACAATATCGTGTGACATAAAAAATTGGAACTACCGCTATTTTATTCTCTAGGGTCTCTGCTTTCAAAAAAATATATATTGTTTGGGGTTTTCTGTAAACTTTCAAGCCTTAAATTATTTTTTAAAGGTGCAAAAACAGCTCTGACAGCGAAAGGGATAAAGGATCAGTTCGACACGCCCCTTTTCTGACGAGCAGCCAATCGGTGCTCATTACACTGAAAGGTCTCTCCCCCCGCCTTGCTAGTCCCTGGGTGCGGTGCTGGCGACAGGCAGGGAGGGGAGGAGGCGATATACAACGCAATGTTAAAAATATTAAACATTTAAGTTGCCATAAAGCCCCTTTTGTTTTTAAAAGCCCCACACATTCCATAAAGCTCCTCAGATTTAAATACGGTTTTGGTTAAAATATATTTATTTTTATCAGGAAAAGTAGATTGTCATGAGGGACAAGTAGATTGGGACACCGATTTAGTCCCTGGACAAGTAGTTTTCCCAAAAATTTCCACACCCCTGAAGACAAGTTAAAGTGGAGTTCCAGCCATTTTTGTGTTTTATAAAAAGTCAGCAGCTACAGTTTTTGTAGCTGCTGACTTTTAATAAACACACACACACACACACCTGTACCAGAGTCCAGCGACGCACCATCCCTTCTCTCCCTGATGCCAGCAGCTCAACTGTGGGCACCAGGCTGTGACAGCTTGCAGCTTCACAGCCGAGTGTCCACTGTGCATGCGTGAGTCGCGCTGCGCATCCTGATTGGTCTGGCAGTCTTCTGGGACCTGTGAAGGTTCCCAGGAGACTGCAGGAGGAGGAGGAGGGGGGCCGAACTTCCGGCTCAGTTCATCGTGGCGAAGTGAGCCAGAAGTGGGAGTGGGTACCTATCAAAACCAGGTATCTGCTCTCTCTCCTCCCTAAAAGGTGCTAAATGTGGCAGTGGAGTGGGGGGGGGGGGGGGGGGGGGAATGAGGCAAATAAGCAGAGCTTCCACTTTTGGGTGGAACGCCGCTTTAAATACCACTTCAAAATTTCTTTTTTGCAAAAGTTTAAAATGTAGGATGCGTCGATCTCCATGTACACTATATTTACTTAACAAAAGTGAACCTACCTTGAAATATGATTTTGGTTCTGTCCAGTGGAGCAACTGCTGTCTTGGCCACAGCTCCAGCCAAAGCGCCAGACATTAAGGAGTTGATGACTCCCTTGCCGTTTTTGTTTCCCTAGTGAAACAGAATAGACAGTTACAACAACAATCTACAAAAAGTATGGTTATCCCTAATGGGTACTATAACACGTACTCCATACACGATTTATAGAGTCAACAAAGTTTACTTAAAAGTGAACTAGAATGACCTACCTTATTTAAAAAAATTATTTATATCCAGTCAAGTTAAAGTGAAATGTCTCTTTTACTATGCCTAAACCCTTTGGGGTGCACCAGTCTAATAAAAGAGGCACTGACGTTTATTACTGAAAGCAAGAACATAGGATTTGGCTAGAGTAATAGATCTTCTTCTGCATAGAAAGGAGAACAAGAATTCAGTCAAGCTTGGGTGCTCTAAAGAACCTGTGTACACCTATGGTAGCTTTAGAAAACAAATATAATAGCTTTTTTTCCATACATCTAATGGATAAGTGGATAGTCAAGCTGGGTTTACCTGTGTACACAGCTATGTCCAAGAAAAAAAGAAAAAAAAAAAAAAACAGGAAATGAGGGGGGGGGGGGGGGGGGGGGCACTCAGAGGAATCAGCCAAAGAGTCCCAACCTTGCCATAAGAGATTATTTGTATCTTAGCCATCTGATTATTTGTTGAAGTCATAAATACAAATGAACATATGTACCTGTACAAAAAAGAAATCTTAACATTATCTTCACTTAGACCTTCATTTCATGAACTGCATTTTCACTCTGAGCTTGGACAACCCCACCCCAGACACACACACACACACACAAATATGAATACAGGGGGCGGAGGCGTAATACAGGGGGACCTATCCCAACTCCTCCGCACAGCAATGCTAGATATACTCTGCACTGGCTGACAGCTGACTGGTGCAGAACTACAATGTGAGATTTGACATATGATACCAGTCTAATTTTTGGAACAGGACATCATGAAAGAGGGAAACAATTTTACTTGATTGCAAAATATCAATCTGCGAGAAATCTCTTACAAAGCAAAGACGTGTTTATGCATTAGCTACAGTAATAAAACTCATCTCTTATCTCATATAATGATCTCTGCACACCCTTGCCCTAAGGCTTTCAATGCAAAACCTGTAGGAGAGTACAGTACGTAGTGTAATAGCTCATCGGATATGTGTTTATGCGAGCAAATATCACTTTCACGTGCACAGTAGAATTTGTTTCAATTTTTTTTATTGTGGTCTATGCCCCCGTTAGGGAGATTCACCCTCTCGGTTTGTCCGGTTTACCATTATCATTGAAAGTGAAAGTAAATCCTACATTTTCGGTTGTCTCCAAAAAAGTAAAAGAGGGGAAATCTTCCAATGGGGGAACTAGCTCTGGTGACCTGGGAGGGCCACAAGAGACTTCCTAATTTACAGGGAATTCCTCACACTTCCTGTTTGGCTATGGGACAGAAAATGACAGTAAATCTCCCCAATGGAGGAAAAAAAAAAAAAAAAAAACCCCACACACAACACACGGACAGGGGTTATGACCTCCCGTACTTTATCAAAAGAATTTTTTTTTTCTTTTGATAAAATACGGGAGGTGTACATTACAGAAAAGTTATTTAAAGTAGAATTATGGGCCAATTTTTTTATTGGCCCATAATTCTACTTTAACTTTTCTGTAATGTACACGGTTATAGAAAGAGCAGAATAACAGCTATTTTAAATAATTATCTGGCATTTTACTGTGCCCAGTTACTTAGTCTATGAATGGTCTCATCACTGTTCAGGCATAGTTTACCAGCCAATAATTGACATTTCAGTTACCCAAACCCTTTCAACAAAGACCATTGGTCTTTGATCAAATGACAGGCTTACAGGGCATTCCAAATTTAATGTCTAGCAGATTTTTTTTTTTATCTATTGCTATTTACAGTTATTTAGTTTTTGGACATAAGCTAACAAAATAAATTATGCAAATCAGATAGACAATAAGAATTTTGGGTGCATTCCAATTGTAAATAAATACCTTTATTTAGCTGACGAACCTCGGGAAATTACCACTTGCTAACCTCCCCAAAAGAGTACTTTCCTAGACTTTAGTCAGTTAAATAGTTAATGATAATATCTAATAGTGGTTTGGTAGTTTGTATAATTTCAAGTTATTTCCATTAGAAAATAACCCAAAGCTTCTTATGAATCTGTTCTCCACTTCATATGTGTCTGTTGTGTTTTTCTCCAGCTTCTCCTTAGACACACAGGGGTTATTTACTAAAACTGGAGAGTGTAAAATCTGGTGCAGCTGTGCATGGTAGCCAATTAGCTTCTAACTTCAGCTTGTTCAATTAAGCTTTGACAAAAAAAATCATGAAAGCTGACTGGTGTCTAAGCAGAGCTGTACCAGATTTTGCACCATGCAGTTTAAGTAAAACATCCCCAATAAAGTGATCCGAGCAACTGAGTAACCACCAGATCACTTTTAGAAGCAGCAGGAGGCGTCACCACCCCCTTTCCAGTGGATCTTGTGCTTAACGGTCTCACCCAAAAGCTTTGGAACCTATTTGGCAGCTGGCCATTGAGGTGGATAGTGACCAAATTGTCTCTAATCACCTTCTGACCTAGGAGGCCAGCAGCGACATCATGACATCACTTCCGGTTTAGGACCAATGTAAACAATGCCATTTTTTAGGGGAAAGCATCAAATTTTTTTTTTTTTTTTTTGATCTGATGCTTTCACAGGTATAGGAGAACTGGGGTCTAATAGACCCCAGATCTCTCCATAAAGAGGACATGCCATGCTTTATTTTTATCACAAAGGATGTTTATATTTCTTGTGATAGCAATAAAATTGGTAAAAAAAAAATAAAAGGGACAGTGTAAAAATAAAAAATAATGTAATAAAATAAATAATTATTTATTTAAAAAAAGGACTCTAAAAACATCCCCGTCCACCCGTGCTCACTCTGTGCTACATGTAAAAATACAGATTTTTACATGTAGGAGAGAAGTGTCAGAATAGGCCTGATGAATCCACTTGTACTGAGCACCCAAGTGCTTTTGTGTGCGAGGGTAACCCTGAAGATATAAGGGCTCGTTCACACTTGACCGTTTTACCAATGCTTGCCAAACGCCCCTATAGCGGCGCCCCGGTCCGGCGTTTTGCGGAGCGTTTTTTAATACTTGGCAAACACCGCATGCACGGTTTAGCGGCGGTTGCTAGGCATTTGCCAAGCATTAAAAACGCCCCACAAACGCCTATAATGAAGTTTGAATGGTGTTACCGCTCCGCAAACGCATCGCAACTGACGGCCGGGGCGTTTGCGGAGCGGCACCATAGACTAGAATAGGAGGCTTCAACGCCTCCTGACTCGACCAGAGGTGTCCGTTTTGCCGCGACGCTGACGCTAGAACAGCACCATGTGCTGTAATGTGCAAAATTGTCCGAGGCGTTTGGGAAGCGGTAAAAACGCTTCCCAAGCGCCTCTCTGCCACCTGCACACAATGCTAGTGTGAACGTAGCCTAAAGGTTTTTTGTTTTGTTTTTTCCTCAATGGGGCCAGTGCATCATTTACTCGCTCAGTAGATATGCTTCTGCTGAGGGTTAAGAGAGCCCAACACTTTCCTTTCCTGACAAGCATCCAACTGGTGCTCAGCACACTGCGAGGTCTCTCTCCTCCCTGCTAGTCCCCGGGTGCAGTGCTGAAGAGAGGCAGAGAGGGGAATAGGAGATAAACAGCGCAATGTTAAAAATTCTAAATTGCCGTAAAGCCCCTTTCATTTTTAAAAGCCCCAGAAATTCCTAAAAGCATCTTATCAGGACAAGTAGATTGTCATGAGGGAAAAGTAGATTGGGAAAAGTAGTTTTTTAAAAAATTTCTACATCCCTGCTCCTGCTAGGATATCCCATACAACTGTGCCAAGGCTAAATTAGGTGGCGCTTGCTTTCAGTCCTGTTCCTAAAACACCAACAACACTGCTTGTTACTACTCCATATCTCTTACCTCTGATGACACTGCAGTAGTGGAAAGGACAGTATGTGCTCCATTTCTGTTCAGACTCACTTGGCTCTTCTTAATAGCATTCTCCATACCACAATTCTTCACAGCTATGTTAGAAAACAAAGCGAATCCTGACAATGAAAAAAAAAAAAAGAACTTCTGACGTAGGATATCTCCAAGCAGTACCCTTTTTTTACCTTGTGGTATAAAGCAAGTCATGTAAACAGCAGAACATTTCTTGTAATGACTTTCAGTGAAGTGTTAAGGTGAAAAAAAAGGAGGGGGCGAGCAACATGCAACCAGTAATGCTCCTGAGCACTGGCACAAGTCAGCAGCTTATTTTCAGAACTACTGCATGAAACATCCCAATCATTGCTGCTAGGTCCTGACTCTAAGACCCTGTACACTGGATGTTTTTTAAAGCGGCTGTTTTTGGACTTTTTTTCTACAGTTAGTAACCCCCCCCCCCCCCCTCCCCCAGCATGTTATCCTATGTGCCCATGCACACAGACTGTAATCAACAATTTTTGAAAGGGAAGTTTTTTGGCTGTAAAAAAAAAAAAACCCAGGACTAGTGGGTTTCTAGAGGAGTTTTTTTAGCTGTAAAAACGATCTAACGATGAAAATGCAGTAAAACGCCGTAAACTGGTGTTTTTGGACTTTTTAGGAAAAAAATAAATAAATAAAAAACAGCTAAAAACCGCAAACGCAGAAAACGCTGCTAAACGCTAATGCAAAAACGCTAAAAAAAAAAAAGCTGAAAAACTCACGTTTTTAACGTGACTTTGCACAGTGTGCATGGCGCTATAAGAAACATATTAAACACTGATTTTTCTGTGCTTTAATTATGTAAAAAAGTGCCATATACACTGAGTAATCAAATCATATGTATTTAGAAGAAACATCAATAATCGATGCACAAATCAAAATACCTGGGGTGCAAACTGGAACCTCAATTGCCAATCAACAGTATAAGCAGATACAAGGAAAGCAGATTGTGAGAGGCAGATGGCTGCTCAAAGAGAAAACCGACAGGTAGAAAACCTATATATAGCCTTATTAAGAATTATGTACATGAAAAATTTATATAAAAATGAATATGACCATATATTATTTAAGTATTTGTAATACAAAACCAGGGGCTCAATTCACTAAAAGGATATCACATGCAATATTTGGATCATATATCCAAAATATCGCATAAAAAATGGAAGTTCTCAATTCACTACAGGTTTATGCGGTATTGACTGCAAAAACAAGAAACAGTAAATATTACATAAACCTGTCAATTAAAAAAGTAAACAAATACATTTGTTACATAAGTTGTGGTCTAGCCACACACTATTTAACAGCTTCCCGACCACCCCATAGCAGAAATACTGCTACAAGGCGGCACAGGTGAGCAAAATTAAGTACATATATATATATATATATATATATATATATACACGTGATTTTGCATTTCCGGGTAGGGGGCGCGTGCGAGCGCTATTCTTGGCTGTCAATAACCGGGTGCCGGCTGGTGATTTCTGAGGATCTCCGATGGGGAAGAGGACTGTTTTGTTTACTAACACTTCTCTTCCCTGTCAGCTCGGGCACACTGCTTTGGATGGCTGTGCACAGCACAGGTATCCAAAGTAGTGTGCTTACAGTGAAGCACACTGACACGGCCCCCTAGTAAAACACTCCCTGCACACACAGTTAACCCTTTGATTGCCCCTCAAGTTAGCCCTTTTCGGCCCAGCGCCATTAGTAGTGTCAGTGCTTTTGTTTAGCACTAAGCACTGTATTGGTGTCACTGAGGATGTCAGTGACACCAAGTCAGTTCCCCCCAGTGTCAATGTCTGCCACAGTCCCGCTATAAGTCGCTGATGGCCACCTTTACTAGTATAAAAAAAAAAAAAATTCCAGTATCTATACCGCCATTTGTAAACGCTATAACTGTCATGTAAACCAATTAATTTACACATAATGGGATTTTTTTTAGCAAAGACATGTAGCAGAATACATTTTGGCCTAAATTTATGATGAAATTTGATTTTTTTACATTTTTTTACTGGACATGTTTAATAGCAGAAAGTCAAAAAATTGTTTTTTTCTCTCAAAATTGTTGGTCTTTTTTTTTTTTATAGCGCAAAAAAATAAAAAAAAAAAATTAAAAACCCGCACAGGCGATCAAATACCACCAAAAGAAAGCTCAATTCATGGGAAAAAAAAAAAAAAAAAAAAAAAAAAAAAAAAAAAAAGGACGTAAATTTCATTTGGGTGCAGCATTCCATGTCCGTGCAATCATCAGTTAAAGTAAAGCAGCGCTGGAACACAAAAAATGGCCTGGTCAGGAAGGGGGGTAAATGGCTAATGAATATCCACTTGAAGACCAGGTCTTTTCTGTCACTTTTTGTTTACATGTAACAATCAGAATTTTTTCTTTTTCTTAGAACCCCCAAACATTATATATTTTTTAAAGCAGAGGCCCTAGAAAATAAATTGGTGGGTGTTACAATTTTTTTTATGTACCACGGTATTTCCGCAGTGGTTTTTAAAAAGCTTTTTTTTTTTTTTTTTTAAAGTATACAATACATCAGGGCTTGACAAATTTGCTTTGAATCTAGGAGCCAGCTAAAAAAGTTAGAAGCCAGTTTTTTTTTTTTTTAATCACTTACCTACTGGTTACTTTCGCCCCCTTCCTGCCCAGGCCAATTTTCAGCACCGTCACACTTTAAAGGACAATTGCGCGGTCATGCAACACTGTACCCAAATTATATTTTTATCTCTTTTTGGAGACAGATAGAGCTTTCTTTTTGTCATATTTATTCACCACTGGGTTTTTTATTTGTTACTAAATACACAAAGAAAAGACCAAAAATTAAAAAAAAAAAAAAACCTTTTTTGTCAAATAAGTAATTTTTCTTCACTGATGTGCGGTGATGAGGCTGCACCGGCGAGGAGGCACCGATAGGTGGCCACACTGGCTGTCACGAAGGTAGCAGGCTCCTGGGCTGCCCAGACCCGACTCGGAGCTGCAGTCTGACCCTGTCCAGGGTTAAGAACCGCAGCACCAGAGAAGTCCCTTATGAGAGGGTGTCCAGCTCGGAGCCATTGCTGAGCCACCAAGTTCTGCTCCGAGGTAAGGCTGAGGGTCTCCCTGAAGCGGCAGGTGTCCCCTAAGTGCCCCAAAGGGGACACTTCCTGCCAGCTTCACTCCTCCTCTGACCTGCCCCTCCCACTGCTGTACAGCCCTGCGTCTCCCCTAACCCACCCTTCACATTCCTGCAGCTCTCCTTTAACCTGCCCTCAAAGCACCGTTCCTCAATACTCCATGGCCTCACACACGTAGCAGACACCTGCAGGCTGCTCGGCAATGTTGCACCTGGCTGTGCTCCCCTATGCTACACCACTGGGGCTGACAACAGCCCTGCAGCCAGGCCACACTTTCTAGTGGCCATGGCGACCTGGTGCCCGATTTATCGAGCCCTGCAATACATAACCCAATTTTTGGTAAAATATAAAAGATGTTACAATGAGTAAATAGGCACCAAACATGGCACACTTTAAAATTGCGCACGTCTGTGCAACAGTGACAAACAATGTAAATTTTACTATCCATAGGAGATAATGTAAAACCTTTCCAGGTTACCACTTTAGATTTACAGAGGAGGTCTGGTGCTAGATTTACTTCCCTTGATCGGACGGTGATACCTCCCATGCATGGGACAATTGCTGCTTGTGTGCAGGACCGATGCGTACATGGAGGCATTTAAAATTTTTTTTTTTTTTACATTTTTACACTGTTGTTTACATTTTTTTTTTATCACTTTTATTGCTGTCACAAGGAACATAAACATCCCTTTGGACGGCAATAGAGATGTGACAGATATGCTTTATAGAGAGATCTGGAGTCAATAAGTCCCCAAATCCCTCCTCTGCACTTAAAAGCATTTGATCACACCAAGATCGGTATGATCAAAAGCTTTTTATTTTTAAAAATGGCGTGGTTTACATTCGGGTAAACAGAAGTAACGCAAGGTCATCGCTTCTGGTTCCCTATATCAGAGGCAAAAAAGCAGTTCCACTCTTTGTTTGGCTCTATGATCAGCAGCCAGAAGCGCCGGCTGATTGACCGGGTGTCCCCAGTGGTGTATTTAGGTTTTTTGCTGCCCTAGGCAACACAAAAATTGGGGTGCCCTCCCCCCTTTCCCACAGAAAGAGCCTGCCATTGACCAAGAACACCCCTACCCTCCACCCGAGCCTTCCACTACCACTGCCCCCCATAAACCAGACAACATCCCCCATGACGAGAGAAAGAAAGACACTCACCTTCACAGCTCTGGACATCCCCAGGAACAAGAAATCGGGCTGTGCATACACCGTCATGAAACCCACAGCATCTCTCAGAACCCACCAGGTCCCCATGCCTTGCGAGTCCCTTCTTCCATCCCTTCTTCCGAGGGGCAGTGCTGCCCCCCCTGAAAAATGTCGCCCTAGGCAAATGCCTTGTTTGCCTTGTGGTAAATACACCCCTGGGTGTCCCACTGGAATGAGACAGACTGTTAAAGCAATAGTAAACTGCATTAAAAAAAAATGCCCCCAAAAAACCACTCCCTGCAAATTCTTGTATAAGATCTCCGTGACTTTAAATCAGCATCACAGATATAAAACCCAGTGCTCTCTCCGAAACGCCACACATGAGTTTACCAGAATGTCTGCGACTCTCAGTGTATGAAGAGTCAAAACAATCAGAGTCAAATAACACAAATCTGTTCGTTTGGTGTTTTTTTGCTTTTTTTTTTTAACCTGAAACTGAACTCCCATAGTCGAACATTGAACAAAATCTCTCATTTCTGCTGTGACGAAGTTACCTTCATAACACTGAACACACCTATCTTACAAGGTACAGCAGGCTAATAAAGCACATAGGACCTCCTAAAAGGGAAGTATATGTTATCCATATCATATTCGTTATCTAACACATTGTCATTCTGCAAAAAAAAAAAATAATATCCTGATTGTCAGATTGTAAAACCTTGTCAGCACGCCTAAATCACAAAGAAACAATACGTTGCACATTCAACATTTTTTTTTTTTCATTTAACCAGTGGGTTGAATGAAAAAAAAAAAAAAAAAAAAAAAAAAA